ATATATATATATATATATATATATATATATATATATATATATATATAAACATTATGTAAGATTGAAAAACAAAATCTCTGGTTATACTGCATAATTGAAGTGAGTTTTAAGTGGTGACTGCTCTGGAGAAAAACTTTTTGTTGTTTTTTTTTTAAATATTTGGTATCGTTTGGGCCCAAAAATACAGTCAACGCACAGAATAAATTGATTTTCAATTTTTATATTTTAGCTAAAATATTACAGCTCCAAATATGGGATTGCCGGAATTGTGTACAGATCTGAAACAGAGAAAGGAGAATGAGTATGAGATTAAGTGACAGGTAGCAAAATCTTGTACAGATCAGGATAAACTAACCTATGAGGGAGATCCATGAGTCAGGAACACTACTGCTTTGGTTAATGTGGGATCCTACTAAAAGGTACCAGAATCCGACAGGTAGAGATGAGTCAGAAGTCAGGTGAGGGTCAAAACCATTGCCGTAATTGGTGGCTTTAGAACACACCTGTCTCTAAGCCACACTTATTAAATATAAGATAAATCATAATTTTGTACATAAATAAGACGCTTCGGTTATTTAGCCGCGGGCATCCACCGTTCATTGTCAGAATCTGTGACCCCCAGACTTCTCTGGCTGTCTGCAGATGTCTTTTAGTACAAGAATCAGCCAGCAGATGGAGTTTTACAGAATATAGCTCACTTTTAATGCACACTCAGACTACAAGATCGTCATGAGTCTTCATAGAGCTTTGCTGTATGACTCATGGTTACAACAATTATACCTTCAAAATGAACACAATAACTATCTAAGTATAATCACTGGACAGAACAGTGCCAAACACATACATAACTGAAATTATTTAAAAATTATTTACTGGTAAAACCCAGTTTTATCTAGGTCATGTGACCAGAAGTCAAATAGTACTAGAAGAATGCAGTAAATATTTATTAAATTAGTACCATTGATTTTTATTGGTAAACACTTTTGTTAACAACTGCTGTTTTTAAATGTACTTTCTAAATAAAGTTGACGTGATTTCTGCTCAGCAATGCTCATACTGTATGAGGAAGAACAGCACCTGCCTCCCCGTTCTTTTTTCCTCCCTCCCGTTGTCTCCTTCACCCTGTTTAATGCCCCTGTTTAAGCTTAAATGAGATACTGGTATTTAATCAAATATTTACCGTACACAGAAATATTTTTTAAAACTTTTTTTAAATATGTACCAGTCTTGACTGACTGCTTTAAAAATGTATCTGACGACTTGTCCACCGTTGAGCTCTCAAGGGGAAGGGGAGGGGGGAAGACTCCTCCTATTGTTCGCCGCTAAGTGTTCATAAGTGACTTTAAAATGAGATCCCGGTATTTAAATGCATATTTATCAGAAAGATGTCACAGAAATATAATTTTAAAACAGCTCTTCAGGACAAGACTCAGCTGTTCACCTACACCTCAAGGATAAGGGTCACTCATTTGAGGACCAGAATATTCATATTTTGGACTGAGAAGACAGATGGTTTAAGAGGGGGGTAAAGGAAGCAATTTATGTAAAACGAGACAAACCATCTTTGAAGGAAGGAGGAGGTCTCAGATTTCAACTTTCAAAAACTTATATTACAGCTTTAGACCTGATACCCAGTCTTTTCCACACCTATCAGGAATTTCATCCATGTCACCAGAGTGGCTCCTCTGGGTCTCAGACTAACAAATACCCCTACAAACCCCTATTGTAAGTAGTGATAGGGCAATCTACATATGTATCTAGCTTAGCTCAGCTATTTATCTCGAACCCCACACTCTTTTCTTTGAATTGAGAACGCTCCTCGGATGAGAAGCGAAACGTCTTCTGTTACAAATAAAGCCCAGTTGTTTTTGTCTTGAACTTTTTTGAATTTACCATGTCCTGGATGACTGTGAATCTTCACCAGCGTTTTTGATATGCTTGAGCTTAGTTTAGTTGCTAACACTCCTTCTATTGCAATTATTCAACAGGAAGATGTAAGTGTGACTATTGAGCATGCATCAGGATAAGTGTGACACAATTCAGCTGCTCCTTTCTGCTGATTGACTCAATGAAAGGAGCTGTGGGTGAGTGTTTAAGTAGCTCCCTACAAAGCTTGCCCTCTGGCTTGATGCCTCAGTGCTGGTGTTTCTGCCTGCCATAAACACCACAAAGTCAAATATTTTTAATCACCATCTTCCTTTGACATTCTAAAAAATCCCCCAAATAAAACAGAAAATAATGTAAAAATAAAACATGGAGCCACATGTCTATCCAAAACAAATGGTGCATTTACACGACATCATCAGGCTGGTAAGAAGTAAACCGTCTACTCTTTGTCTCCTTTTGACAAGAACCAGTTTTGGATCAGCACATCAACACCCAACAACAGGAATGGTTTAAAATGTTTATTAAGAGATAAACAGGTTCTGGTGTAGTACAGGGTCCGGGCCTGGGTCAGATCTGCCAAGACAGGAGTGTTAGTGAACTTGGCATGGATGGGGAGGTAAAGACGGGTACAATAATAATCACTAACCTTCTGTCTTGATAAGAGTAACAGGTACTGTTGTCACGCTGGTGCCAATGACATCACTCATGCAGAGTAACAGCAGTAGCGGAGCAGAAGAGACTGTAGGTACAAAAAGGGGAGATCCGGTTCCGAAGTCCAAGAGGGGAAGCAGGGGTTTGCACACAGTGAGGTAGAGAGCAGAACAGAGCCAAAAACGTGATCCAGAATCGTGGTCAAGAGAGGGCACAGAGTCGTTACCAAAAAGCAGAAAGCAGATCAATCCAAGAGGGGCAGGAAAGGCGAGGAGTCAAACACGGGCAATGGTTCAGAAATGAGACAGGAGTCAAGACTGGGTATGCTGGATTTCTACTACTTTGCAGGTTCGAGAATCTGGCACTGACTGAGTGACTGGAGGGAGCTTAAGTAGGGAGGTGAACAGGTGTAGAGCATGAGTTTGATTGCTGGGAGAGAGTGAGAGACAGGAACAAGCAGAGCTTAGCAGGAACAACATAAACATGACTGACTGTGAGGGGAAAAAACATGACAGAACCCCCACCTTAAGGTCCGGCTCCTGACGGACCACCAGGTTGATCAGGATGGGATCTGTGAAATTGGGTGATGAGGGTCTTGTCCAAGATGTGGCGGGCAGGGACCCAGGAATGTTCCTCCAGACCGTACCCCTCCCAGTCCACAAGGTAATGGAGACCACGACCCCACCATCTGAAGTGGATGAGTCTTCTGACGGAGTAAGCTGGGGAGCCATCAATGAGTTGGGTGGGGGGTGGGGGGCAGAGGAGGGTTTGAACCGGGGCCGAAGGAAAGGCTTGATACGGGAAATGTGGAAAGTGGGGTGAACCTTTAGGGAGCGGGGCAACTACTGGATTAATGACCTTAGTGATGGAAAAGGTCCAATGAATCGGGGAGCCAACTTACAAGATTCACTCTCAGTGGAAAGTCCTTGGTCGAGAGCCAGACTTTGTGGCCCACCTGATAAGCTGGCTCTGTGGAACGGCATCTGTTGGCCCCTCTGGCGTAGGTGGCAGAGGACTTAAGGAGAGCTCTTCTGGCTCTTCTCCAAGTGCGCTGGCACCTCATGGCTGCTAGGTGGGCTGATGGTACCTGATCCTCCCTGCCCTGGATGGAAAACAGAGGGGGCTGAAAACCGAAAACCACATAGAAAGGGGACAAACCTGAAGATGATGAGGGCAGGGAGTTTATAACATGCTCGACCCAGAGGAGATTGGCCGACAACTTGCTGGGGTCCCCCTCACAAAGCAGGCGAAGTTTAGTTTCCACCTCCTGGTTGACTCTTTCAGACTGGCCGTCGGATTGGGGGTGGAACCCTGAGGAGAGACTAATGGAGATGCCAACGAGGCTGTAAAACTCTTTCCAAAATTTTGAAATGAATTGAGGGCCACAATCAGAAACAATCTCATTGGGGAGACCGTGTAATCTAAAAACCTCCTTGGCCATGATGGTACTGAGTTCCTTGGCAGAGGGAATCTTAGAGAGGGGAACTAGATGAACCATCTTAGAAAAACGATCAACAATGGTAAGAATGACTGTGTGACCAGAAGAGGGGGGAAGACTTGTGATGAAATCCATAGAGATGTCTGACTAGGGGTGAGAAGGGACGGACAAGTGGTGAAGCAGCCCAGCAGGAGGGCGACGGGAGGACTTAGCCTGATTACAAGAGGGATAAGAAGTGATGTACTGTTTTACGTCTTTGGCTAAGTTCTCCCACCAAAACTGAGCTCTGACCACACTAAGAGTTTTATTCACCCCAAGATGACAAAACATGAGAGAGTTATGACAGAGTTCTAGTACCTCTTTGATCTTGTTGGTGGGGACGAACACCCAGTTCCTAGGACAGTTGGGTGGAGGAGGTTGAGTCTGATTTGCCCGCCGGAGGTCCGACTCTGAGTCATGCTTAGGCGTACATGGTCTAGTAGGTTAAAATCGACCTCAGTGCTGGTCATGGGGGTACTGTTCTCCATGATTCAAGACAGGGCATCTGGCTTGGTGTTCTTGACTCCTGGTCTGTAAGATAATATAAAATTAAAACGGCAAAAGAATAGGGCCCACCTGGCTTGACGAGGGTTTAATCGTTTGGCCGTCCTGAGGGACTCCAGGTTCTTGTGGTCAGTCCACACCAGGAATGGTTCTTTCTCGAGCCAATGTCTCCACTCCTCGAGGGCCAGTTTGACAGCCAGTAGCTCACGTTCTCCTACATCATAATTGCGTTCTGCAGAAGAGAGGCTCCTAGAAAAGAATGCACTCGGGTGAACCCTCCTCTCCCTACTACGCTGGCTAAGGACGGCTCCCACCCCTGTGCTAGAGGCGTCAACCTCTACAATAAAGGGTCTGTTGGGGTCAGGGGAGTGAAGAATGGGAGAAGTAGAAAATAGGCCCTTTAATTTCTTAAAAGCGAGGTCAGCTGGCTCATTCCAAACAAACCTAACCTTGGAAGATGTTAGGGCATGCAAGGGACCAGAAATAAGGCTGTAGTTCTTGATAAATTTCCTATAAAAATTAGCAAAGCCAAGAAACCTTTGTAAGTGTTTCCTGTCCTTGGAGATGGGCCAGTCAAGGGCAGCAGAAACTTTGTTTAGTCCATAGTGATCTGACTGGGAGAAATAACAAAACCCAGGAAGGATGTGGAGGACTGATGGAACTCGCATTTCTCTGCCTTAACAAACAGATTATTCTGTAAGAGTCCGAGAAGGACTGCTCGGACGTGTTTACGATGTGATGACAAGTCTTTGGAAAAAATGAGGATATCGTTGAGGTAGATGAAGACGAAATGATTGATCATATCCCTGAGAACATCATTAACCAGAGTCTGAAAAACTGCCGGGGCATTAGAGAGGCCAAAAGGCATTACCAGGTATTCATAATGTCCACTGGAGGTGTTGAAGGTAGTCTTCCATTCATCTCCCTCCCTTATGCGGACCAGGTGATAAGCATTTCTAAGGTCCAGTTTAGAGAAAACTTTGGCACCTTGGATGAGGTCGAATGCTGAGGACATAAAACACAAAGGATATTTATTCTTAATGGTGATTTTGTTACGCGCTCTGTAGTCTATGCACGTTCTGAGTGAACCATCTTTCTTGCCCACAAAGAAAAAACCTGCTCCAGTAGGGGAGGCTGAAGGCCGGATGATACCAGCCTGAAGGGACTCCTTTAAGTAATTCTCCACGGCAGTGTGCTCGGGACTGGAAAGAGAGTAAAGACTGCCTCTGGGAGGGGTGGTACCAGGTACAAGGTCTATGGCGCAATCATATGGTCTATGTGGAGGAAGGGATGTGGCCTTAACTTTGTTAAAAACTTCCTTGAGGTCATGGTATTCAACAGGTACTTTGGTGAGGTCAGGATAGTTCTCTTTAATGCTCTCGGAGCTGACAGACGGCAAAATAGCCTCAAAAAGGCAGGTGGTAAGGCATTCCTCTGGCCAACCCACTATCTCTTTACCCCTCCAGTTAATATGTGGGTTGTGTTTGTTGAGCCAGGTTGTTCCTAGAACTAAAGGGAGCTAAGGTGCATTGACCACAATAAACCTTAGAGTCTCTTTGTGATTACCCCCTAGTAGTAGCATGATGGGTGTAGTCTCAAGGTTGGAATCATGGAGAGAATGACCGTCTAGCGCAATAACTTTGTGAGTTTTAGTTGACTTGAGTAAATTAATGCCCAGAGAGAGTGCAAATTGATAATCAATAAATTCTGTGTCAGCCCCTGAATCTATGAAGACTGACACAGATATAGATCTCTTACCTGGGACTTGGATCTCTGCAGGTATGATGAATGGAGAGGAGACCTTGGGACTCTTGGCCTGACTCAACAGGTGTCTCCTCTTCCCTCTTGAGCCTGATCTTTTACCAGACAATTAGCGATAGTGTGGTTACCTGCTCCACAGTAAAAACAGAGATGCAGCCTCCTCCTTCTCTCCCTTTCCTCAGGGGTGAGACGGCTCCTGCCCAGCTGCATAGGCTCCTCCAACTCTGGAAGATTGGGAACAGGTACCATGCGAGTCATTTTTGTGAGAGCTTTTGACTCACTCCAGGGTCTAGGTGACATCGCAGATCTGTCTCTCCTGTCCCGGCCTCTCTCTCAAAGGCGCAGGTTGATGCGTGTTGCCAGGTCCTCCAGGTCCTTGAGGGACTCCGGTTAGTTCTGAGTAGCAAGCTTGTCTTTAATATTGTCATTGAGGCCCTGGAAAAAAGCATCAGTTAAGGCTTCTTCATTCCAGCGACTCTTGGCCGCTATTGCATGGAACTCGATTATGTATTAAGTGACCCTTTGGTTTCCTTGTTTAACAGAAAATAGTTTGCGTGCAGACTCCCTCTCTGGTATCAGTGGATCAAAAACTCTGCATAATTCCTTAGCAAACTCAGAAAAATTGTAGCAGCTTCTGGCGTTCCTCTGCCATTCTGAAGTGCCCTATGATTTTGCTTTACCTGCCAGTAAAGAGATGACATAGGCCACCTGGGCTCGCTCTCTGGGGTAAAGAGGAGGGCTGCAGCTGAAAATGAATCTCACATTGTGTGAGGAAAGGACGACATTGATCAGGATCTCCTCTAAAAAGTTCAGGGGGAGACAAACGGGGTTCATGATAAGGAGAGGAAATGTGAAGAGGCCCAGCCTGAATACGATTCAAAAAGGGGTTTTGCTGTGACAGAGTCTTTAATACTACAATTATTTCCTGCATATTTTCCTCTAGTTTTTCAATGGCCTCTTCAACACCAGAGCACCATTCCTG